TAAGTGATGCATACTTTTATCAACATTTCATTACAATTTAACAAAGAACTAGACAAATTATCGACTCATCATGCTAAAAAGAAAGGTAGAGAACTAACAGGTTGCTTCTTATACTGAAGGGAGTGTATGGCGATACTTATATCGAAATTGTTAATAATAATTTTTTTGCCACCCAATTATAGTGGCCTGAAAGTGATTCCATTGCTTCTTCCTTAAACCATTTTCATCCAATCATTTTCTTGTTTTGCCCTACTTCGTAGAAGAAATATTCTAGTGATTTTAGCCTTACCTTATTTGTCGTGATATATATATAATTTCGCATTTTTAGTGCAGGAGGGGAATGGTTAAGTGACATTCTTGACGTCATGTTTGGTAAACGAGATGGATTTACAAGATCAAGCATAAAGCAAACTTGGCTACTTGAGTTCTTGCCGTTTCATCAAATGAGTGAAATAAAGAAAATGATGAGATTCTTCAAGTGTCTCAGGTCCTAGAGGTCAATTAGGCTTCACACCTTCCCTTCCCCGTGGGGGATTGAGTTTTCTTTGACCGATTGGCCAGCTTTTCTTGGGCGTAGCTCAAGGGAAAGCACTTGAAGTAAGGGATGAGCGCCCTAGCGCATAAGGACTAATGATCGATTGGCTACAGGAGTTGCTTGAAAGGACAGGATTAATATGACCTTTGGCTTAAGGACTGGCCTTCGTCCCCCGCTACCCCTCCGCATTAGTTCACTGCACGAATTACGAATTTCTCTAGAAGATTTGTACAAGTTGTATTAAGTCCTTTATTATTTTCCTCTAAAATTTAACGTTTTATATTCACGTGATAAAATTATTTTGGAGAAGGTAAATACAAATTTAAGGATGTGTTTGATTACGAGCATGAAATTTGCATGAAAAGAAAAAAATTTGAATTGTCTATAACTTATTTATATGAAAATTATTAATTAAATGTATTTGATTGATTTAGTTTTCAACTTAGAAAATATTATACCTATCCATTTTTTATTGTTAGGTCAATAAGAGAGTGGATACATGAGAGAAAGAAAGAGATATTGAATTACTTGAAAAAATAAAAACCACTCCTCCCTTAAGAAAATATTTTCATTATTTTTGAGGAAAATACGAATACACGATCAAAAGTTGGAAAATATTTTCCATGAAAAAAATTATCAATCAAACACTCCAAAAGGTTGGATTTTGAATTGAAAAATGATGTTTTTCATGAAAAATAAAGTCAATCAAACACATTTTAATTTATTATTTACATCTATATTTTTTAAGGCCCTAAAACTGATACATGAAATTAATAGTATAAAAATGCATCAATTTTATCTTCATTGATATGATCCATGAGACTATTGGAGTCAAATGAAGTACCTAAGGAAAAAAAGTAATGTATATAATAAATGTGTATGCAAAAGCAAATTTCTCATATATTAAATTTAATAACTATATATTAACCTAGCTAGATGTGTTCAACAATCAAGATGGTATCACAACATGCAAAAATTTTAAGTTCAAATTTTAAGTCAAGCTCTTGATAAAAGTTAAATTTAGCCGCTCAAACATTGAACAAGTTGAACTTTGAAATAAGATGGTCGAATGCTACTGAGCTTGGCAAAAGAATATTGGATGGATTTGGCACCATGTATATTCATAAGGGAAATTTTCATTATTGATCCCTTATCTATTGCTCCACTAATAAGTTGGTCATCGACCTTTAAAAAGAAGCAAAATGATTCCCAATCTTTCATTATGATTACACAACATTGTTGCAAAAGTCATCGAAATCTCTACTAAGTTATCCCTTGATGCTCTTTTGTTCATCTTTATGGAAACTATGTTTTACTTCTAAACTTAAAATTTAGGGACGGACATAAGTTGAGTTGGGTTTGAGCCCAACAATCAAACCGATAGTTTGAGTTGGGTGAAATCCAATTTCAAAATCAACCGACAAAGTTAATAAGTTGACTCAAAATGACATGACGAATAAATCAACCCGAGTCGATTTGGGTCATTTTGGTTTGTGAGGTTAAAATGGATTTATTCCTAAAAAATCAATTTTAAATTCGACCCTTGAAATTTAGATTTTCGGGTTGGTCCACGCCAACCGGAAAAATGAACTAACATCCCTCCAAATCAACTAGAGTCAGGGTGTAACTTGTCCACCCCTGCTTAAATTGATGTATAGATTTTTACAACGACTACACAAGGATTTTACAAAGATTAAAATGGTTAAGTCGCTAAAAAGTTAATAATTGTGCAACTAATGAAATGTAGAGAACGTAATTATTCTTTATAAAATTTAAGAGACTATACATTAAAAACAAATCATGCAATTTTCCCAGTACAGTTAGATGAGAGAACTGTGAAAATGAATTTCATCTCCATCAATAGGGAAGGAAAATAAGAACCATGCTTCTAGTAGGATGTTCGTCGACAATTTTGTTAACAACGTGTCGCGTGACATGTTGTCATTAGATAATTTAAAAATCTGTCAATTTTTTCAACGAACAATTTTTTGACAGAACAACATTGTCAACCAATATTATACAAACAGCATAACTGAGAATATAATACTAATGAATAGGAAACAAGTGAAAAAGGTCCTTCCATGGTGGAGAATAAGAAGGGTCCCACTTCCATGGACACCATTCCCACAGGCCTTTTGGACTACTACATATACTCGCAACACTCCCACTCTTTTCATTTGTGACAAACATCCAAATTCACAGCCTCACCATTAAATCCCCAAACGTCATCTTCATATATATCATCCTTTCCTCCCTTAGCTTGCAACTGTCATCCACCTCCATTCGGATCAAACAAAATCTTTCTCTGTTAACTTGGGATTTTGTTTGCTTGTCTTTTTCTTTTTAGATAATTCAATAACTTGGTGCAGACGAAATACTGTTTACATCTTCTATGATTTATCCTGAGAGTGTTAGACTACGTGAAGTCTAATCATACTCTACACTCATCCTCCTCTCGCCAATCACTTTCTGCAGAAAGGGATTTCAGGCAGCGGGTCTTCTGAGTACGTGAAAAGGTGTGAGATCAACTCGTACTCGTACTCAAAAACCCGCGAAAGGTTGAAACCCAAGATAGGACCTTCACCTTGAAAGGTTGAGCAGATGACACCAATAAAAGGTATTGAGAAACAAGGTATACTCACCATTCTTGGTTCTGATATTAAACCAATAGCCTCCTTAAGGAAAACGCTTTCAGCTGATATGTCTTCAAAGAAATGGCTGTTACAAAATGGGGTTTTCTCCATGAAGAAGATTGCATCATCTGAAGAACTAGTGATCAACGGTGCTTATTCATCTTCTTCGTCAGAAAGTGAAGAAGAAAATGATGAAAATATTCCAGGACAAAATGAAATTTGGAGGTCAATTCAATTACAGAAAGAGAAGAAAAATAATCAGACGGATCAAAATCCATCTAGATTAGATTGTTGGGGTTCAATTCTATCTCAAAAGAACAATCAAGATACATCCAAGAATTCTCCAACACTTTATGTTCATCCTCTTGTCAAAAGATCTGCCAGCAATATTTTAAGTCAAAAAAGTCTTGAAATTTGTACTGAAAATCTTGGATCAGAAACTGGTTCAGGTGGTTTTTCCTTGTACCCTCCTAAAACAGAAAATTACTGCCAAGAAAAAGCGTCCAAATCCTTCGGAGATTTTAATGTTGTCAAGTACAAAACAGTGCCCCCTCGGCCATTTCCCCCTCCAATTCCTTCCTTTGGTGATGGCAACGGAAATTCACTTCGTATGCACTGCCACCGCCAAAATGGGAGGTTAATTCTTGAAGCTGTGTCCGTTCCTTCAAGAAACTGTTTCCAGGCTCGCCGCCAGGACGGCCGCCTTCTCCTCACTTTGATCAATCCACCAAGTTTTCGGGAGGCAGCCATGAAGGAGAAGGTGGCAGAACCGGCAGAAGTGGAAGAGGAGGTGCAGTCTATGATTGAGCAGAATCCAAAATTAGTAGATGTGATTATACGTGTGGATAAATCAGGATTGATGGTGAAGAAGTTCTTGGGACTAAGAAACAAGATGAATCCAACATGGTATAACGAAGTCAACAAAACTGTCAAGTTAATTGAGGTTGGGAAGGAGCTGCCACTTCCACCATTGCCACCACCCAGAGTAGCTCAGCTGATTTCCACACCACCAGCCGCTGCCACCACGTTCAATGCCTACGAGTACTTCTGGCGGAACAAGACGAGCTTCATCACTACTACATCATACATTCCCATAAAAAACGACCACAAGATTTCCCATTCCAATGGTGAAAAAACATATGAACACCAAGATTTGGTGCTCATTAGCCCTTTGTTTAAGGGATGCAAAGAACAAAGGAAGTCTCTATTAATTTGGGAGCCAAACTGCATTGCCACCTCCTAATAATCAAGTTTTCTTGAATCCAAACTTTTAATTTATCAATTATAAGTCCTTAATTATAATCATTACTCTTAAGTTTGTCACTCTTTCTTCTCTCTCAGAGATTTGTATAACCAAATAAACATGGAACCGATACTTGAAATTGTTTTAAACAATGAGTGTTTATGTATTTAGCTGTTGCGACGGTTTTAGTTTCTTGGTAATTTGCCTATTTTTCTAGTGGAATCTGTCTTGTTATCAGTGTGATTTCTATTTTATTACAGTTCGATACTCAAATTAATCGAGTATTAAAAAGGTTAAAACACTAAGGACATATTTGATGTGCCAGATTCAATGACTACAAGGAAAAAAAAAGTTCAATTTTAATTAGTTATTGTATACTCTTTCATAGTACTTTCCAAACTTAATCATTCACTGGACAAAATCTCTGCCCCATGTTTCACTTGGTGGAGTGCCTCCTTGTTCAGCCTGCGTGGCAATGGAATGTGCCTTTCCCTTTTCTTCATCTTCTGCAATTGTAACCAGTGGGAAATTTTTATTGGTCATGTATGATCCTTTTGATCTTAAGTCCCTGTTTGAGCCATTTTCTTTAAGAATTCTTTTTTTTTTTCGAACTAATTTTCATTCATATATTTTCTCAACAATGTAATTTTACACATAAATCTAAAATTTTATTTTACTTTTTAATCATATATTCTTCAAAAAAATTATTACTACAAAATTGGGTGTTGACGCGTTTTTCTAATATTTTAATAATGTGATTGACATTTATAATTCAATATAAACGTGTAATTAGTATTTAAAAGAAGTATAAATTGGGTGTTGACGTATTTTTCTACGGTAAGATGTAAGTCTCAAAATATTTTAGAGAGCAAGTCTAGTTACAAACTAAAATATTCAAAAGACAGGAGAATAAACTCATTGTAAATTATGAATAATCTTAAAAGATCATAATAGAAAAACTTAAAATGTAACTTGCAAATAAACAACAAATGCAACAAAATTAATGTTTTGCTTTGAATTAATATCTATTATAAGCCTTTTAGGTCGAGTCTGTCGCACCCAGCTTGCCTAGTGCGATTTACTTGACTGGTTTGATTTGCAGGCTATTGCATTAGCCCGAAAGTTTACCCAATGCGCACCCGAAGGGTAGTGACTACTAGTTCCCCCATCATAAGAAAAAAAAAAAGAATCTGAAGCATTCGCGTGAATATAAATATAAAGATGGGTTTGTAAATAATTGTTCTAAGTGTTTTATGTAGAAAGAATGTAAATTTACTCTCTAGTTATTGTTTTATAATAATTTTTACTCTTTCTTGTTCGTTTAGATTATTTTTCAATGTGTCATTTACGAGTATCGTCAATCAAAGATGCAGACTTAGCTCAAATTACATGGGCAGATTGAGGAGCTAAGGAGCTTGGAAAAGTTTGGTCCGTGACAGGAAACCTCGTTAAACAAGAATTTTTGAAGGTGTTTTTCAAGAATACAAAATGTTAAAAAAGAATTCTAATATTAGAACTATGAAAGATCTTAGGAAAAATATAAAATAGACTAAACATCTTGCTACAGTCAACTAAGGAAAAACGAAGAAAAGTAAAACCAAGCATTAATCTGATGAAATCATGCTCACTGTTGATAGAGAAGTGTTCAATCAGCTTTATTTTGATCTTAATTATAAAGCATGTGTGTACGTGTGGGCGCTCATGCAACCTTAATTGTTTCAAAACTTGTTTGTCTATCATTATTTTAAAACTCATTTTTAATTAAATATTCTTACAATAAAATATTTTGCACATGAACCTCATTTTTTTCTAATTTTTAATCACGCATTCTCAAAAAAATCACTGTTTCAATAGCTGACAAACATAGGCTAAATTTCTTGAATGTTGATTGCCCCTATTTTATCACCGTCTCCAGTTGAAGGGACAGTGATTGTATGAAGGGTAGAATAAGGGTCAGAATATGTTCATTTTCGCAGCGAGGAATATGCATTCCATCAAGCAGAAAGAATGTTACAGAAGAAACTTTTCTGCGTATTCTTGCTGGTTAAGGAGAGATGAATCATTCTACAAGTACATCACTTTTCACATATTTTTTCATAGACACACACATACAAGTGGGTGACCCCACCTTTCTGAGGTGTGAAAATTGCTGTCAAAAAAAAAATGCTGTACAAACAGCATTTTTGGAGGAGAGATTCAGCCTCTGGTGCTCAAGACAGAAGATACCAACAAACATTACATTCAAAGAACAGTGAACTGATGCTGAGTAGCGGTTCTATTGTATCTATATAAAGGCCTCCGTTTATTTACCTTCACGTCTGTCAACAGAGCTGATTTGGGCATGTGGGAGCAGAAACAAATTCTTATCTTCAAACGAAGGTTTTTACATTGTACAAACACAAATTACACAGCAAAACCTCTATAATACATGAATAAACAAGATTATTATGATTCTATCTCGCCAACCTCGTACACGAACCTCAAGTCCTCTTACAACACAAATAATAATAACGCGCATAACAATAATACACCTACACAATGACCAAAAACAAAACAAGTGTACCCACTCGAAGGAAGAAATGACACTGTAACTTCTACCAGTTGTGGATCATGTACAGCTTTTGGAAATCCTGACCTGCTTTCAGCACAACAAATGTAGTCTACAACTAGCCGCTTGCAACATGTTCAAACTCTTCCATCTTTATCTTCCGAAGGCACTCCAGTGTGTGGAAGATACCTGTGGGAGTTCAAGGACTTTCATATCTTTTAAGAGATTATTAACTTATCTCTGCAGAATCCTCGGCGCTATGTACAGATCACTGGAAATTTCCGAGTGTTAGTGTAGCCTGGAAGTACAGGAAAGCAATCTGGGAGCATAATCTAAATCCAAGCAAGAGAACCTCTATCATTAGTCACTTGAGGACGGCCCCTAGTTGGTGTAGGCGGTCTGTTAGCATTCAGCTCCTAGTTTCACAACAGAAAAAAAAAAAGATACGATATCAGCAGGAAACGACAGGACGTTGACTAAAAGGAAAATTGAATCATTGGCCCAAGCTATTGTCCCAGTAGTAAGTTACTCCCCAACCTTGCATTACAGTTGCACAAAGGTCCCCGATAAAAAAAATTTAAAAAGAAAGGAAAAAGGTCCAAATCTTTTAAATCGGCAAGTGGCCTTCCAATTTCAGGGCATCAGCCCTAGTTGAGAAGCAAAATTTAGCTTCATGAAGTTGGGAAGGTGGGACAATTGTACATAGATTTGGAAAGTTATTGTTAACGGGAGTCATTATGCAACTATAATGAAAGGTTGGGGACCAACGGTGCGATTCCCCTTGATTGTTAACATGAACATGCTGAAACCAAAGTAAAGATATCATTTTCACCTGCATCCATGTGTCCTCTATTTGGCGTTCAGGAGAGGTCTCCGACGATGAAATTGCAGGCGGCAATGGATGAATTAGTTTTGGAACCACCACTAGGTCTCTACCCAAAACTAAGATAGCTCCAGCATTATTTGCCGTACCTGAAGAAGCCAAAATTAAAATTCCAGCGAGAGCCATATTCAAATCAAAAGGCAAGAATTGAATGGTGGAGTCATCTAAGAATGAGTAAATAGTCAATATATCAGGACATACCACAGTAGTTAGTTGCTGAAAAGATAGTAATTAAATGCCCCTGAGCAAATCTTTCAAATCCATCCATCACACATTCATGAGCCCGAACAATCAATTGTAGATCATTGTTGTTACAAAATTCCATTACACGATCAGGCTGCAAAGTTGAACATCACATAATGTTAAAATTGGTAGAGATACTGGCAAAAAATAAATAAAATCTCATTTTCTTACGTACAAGCATCATATAATGGACTAAACCATAATACAGCTGCACCTGAGATATTAAAATCTTGAACTTGAATATAAGACCTAAGAACATCCAAAAATACCATTCATATCCTTGTACAAGAAGATAAAGTATCCAACAGTTTGGGGCAGGATAATAGAAGCACTTCATATTGTTAAATGAAGCGAAAATTGTCATGATATATAATTGAAGTTCCTTGTAGTTACTGAATATTTCTCTACGAGTAGAATAATCTTTTGCTAAAGAAGTTTCATAATCAACAGCTGCAACTGATCATAAATGGGTAAGTATACAGCATAACAACGCCAGCTCTTATACATAAGCATTGTATTTATTTCGATTTTTAACATAATCCTAGTTGGCATCAATGGGCCAACAATACTTAGCATAGCATAGTATTTCTAAAAGTCCCATCCAATTACCTCAGTATCCAGTCCTTAGAAGTCCACCGAGTAACTTTCTGTTCTAGGCAAACATTAGACCAGGGATGACCTTCCCTCAAATCCAGTAGACAAAACTCAGAATATACTTCATCACACTAAACTTTGTCAACAGAACAAGCACGTCGATTCATGATTGTGACTTCAAAATAATCTCCCAAAACTCAAGGATTTTTGTGATGGGAAGAAATATCAGTCCAAAATTAACTTGCATCTCATGTAATGTTATTAAATAGACTTTCAAAGTAATTCTGAGAGAAGCCTAGGTCTCTAGTAAAATAAACCAAATTATTGCATTCACCTATATCATCCTCAATCAGTTAACAGAGACTTACTGGGGTAAGTATCATCCAACCTATAAGCATGCTAATGACTATTGAACTGCCATACTTCTATTCATATTGACAGTTGAATCATAGCTTTTGACCATAATAACTTGGGGATTTCACACATCCACCAATTTAAAAACAAAAGAACAGGAAATGTCCAAAAAACTAACTGGCTTGAAGAACCATGTGGCATGTCATCGTACTAATTTGCACATCGTTCAGTTGCTTCCGCACTCATCAGAAACTTGCAACTATAGCTGCTCTTTAACTTGTACTCTACTAATTTTCTGGCTCCAAACAATTATCAAAGCTAGGATATAGCCATCATTTTGACAAAATAAAGAACAATATCTTGCGATAAAATATTTATGGATTATTAAACTAATTAGCCTGAACGTCAGCCCTCATCCCCACCCGCAAACCCCAATCCCCAAAAAGATTCATATAATTCCAACAAATTGATATACAACATTTAAGTCTAAAATAATCAATATTTGGAGCTGTTCTTGGGAAAAAAACAGAATGAGAGAAGTGCCCACCCCAAAGGTAACCAATCCCGGACCTCTTGCATTTGGTCTTAATCCTTCTACACTGTCGTTTTCTGTGGGATCGGACCTACCAGAAAAATTCACATGTAAGAATAGAACAGAGAAAAATTAGAAGAATGATATTGAAAACATGAAGTGATGCCATTCGCCAACCATAACAAGTCCATAAGGACAATCGATCCGGCTTCCATTGTAATTGGGCGCTGAATATTCTCAATCTGTTCTACATGGTTTATAGATCTTCCTATACCACCATGCATACAAATAATTTTTTTCTCAATCAATGCTGCCAGGGGAAGCCAATTGAACAATCTGTTTATTCGATGCCATGTCCAGATTCCATCTCTTTCACCCTGTTCACGATATGATCATAAGGTGTACAGCTTTATTCAGACATTAGAAAGAACAACTAACCAAATTAAATCATTACCATGCGTTCAATGCACTCAATTCGAAAACCAAAAAGTGCATTGATATCTGCAGCTTCATGATTACCACGAATCAAATGCACCTGATGCAGATGCTCAACCTACACATGAAAACACGTATTAATATACCATGAAGTAAATTTAAAATCATAGCACTGTACTGACAGAGAGAAAAAGTACCTTCAAAGCTAGGAGTAGGGTTATGGTTTCCAAGCTGTGCTGGCCTCGATCAACATAATCACCCAAGAAGAGATAATCGATATATCTAATAGTCATCAATGCAAAATTAGATACACATTAGAGGTCGATAGAGTTTAAAAACAAATGTAGTACTTCAAATCAAACTGCAAGATAACTAATGTTGCCCTAAGTGACAAAAGAAATAGTCTTCAATTCATGAAGAACAAGAGTACACAAGTTTCAAAAGCTATGTCGACATAAGCAAGTAAACACTAGCATATTTTTAAGAAATCTAGATAAATGAAACTGTATCAAAGAACTAGAGAATTCGGTTAGGGACCTAATACATATAGAACGATGTCATGAAGTGAAAACTTACGCTATATCTCCTGCAGTTGAAGGGGATCCATACTCATCAAAAAGGCGCATAAGATCCCCAAATTGACCATGCAAATCCCCAAATATCTTAATAGGAGCCTTGAGCTGTAGAACACTAGGTTCAGCTGCAAATATTCTTTCAGCACTATCACAAAGATCTGCTATCTCGTTGCAATCCAAGAAAAACTGTCTGCGAACTGGAGGTTTCCAACCACGAGGTTTTAAAAGATGAGCAATCACCTGGAGAAGGGAAGAGAGAAGCCACGAGTCTTAACATGATACAATATATTTACCATAACCAACAAAATAATATAGAATTGTCATGACACCATAATAACCACAACAAATAAACAGATTACATCAAAAAAGTTTCAGCTATATTATCAGCTTGAAAAGAAATGAAAGCTAAAAGTAAATTTTACATCATGAAAAATTCAAAAATTACTGATATTTCTTAATCGTGATAAAGACAAGAATAGATCACTTGAAAGTCGAACACAATATGATTTATTACGATATGAAGGGGAAAAAAAATACCTTCTTTGGTACACTATTAACAGACATTTGTCGGTCTAGAAGTTTCCTAGCAGCTGTTGCATTTTCTTGAGTTCCATAACTGACACGTCTGCCTTCATTTTCAAATTGATCAATTGAAAGCTGTCTGGCCACACCTAAAACACCACCAGTCTCTGCAGCTACAACAACCTGCAGATGTATTAATGGCATATAAAGAAATCTTTTACCATTGACCGAATTGAAATAGACTTGAATTCATTAACCATCTAGATACTAACAGCACGGTGATGAAGCCTAACTCCAGCTGAAGTAGAATTATTAGACACTGCAGAATCTGGCTTAATCAAGGTAGTGATCTGTTTTCCACTGGAGGTGGCCTCAGCCCCCCGATCCCTATCTGGAAACTCAATTTCTCCATTAACTTGCCGAGCTTTAGCAGCAGCTAACGTAGCAGTAATAGCTTCAGCTTCTGCTGCTGCTGCCTCAACTAAGTACTCAACACCTTTGTTCTGTCTTCTGAAAAGCATGCCACATTTAATACCTGAACTTGAAGTGCTTCAAAGGGCCTAACTACCAAACATTACAGAGCATAAAGCGATGCAACATTTAGAAGCACACATACCGGGAACCTTGAAGCATTGCATTTTCAGTGCTAATATCAGTAAACATATCCCCATTTACAGGGGGAGCAACAGGAGTTCCTACTATCACGTCACCATCAGCAGCAGCAGCAGCAGCAGCACCAGGCACCGGAGGGTTTGTTCCGTCAACAATAAAACCATATCTACCTGGTAACCTCCCTTGCAGCACATTGGTAGCTGCTGCAGCTGCTGCATGAGAAGCTGCACTAGTTGTTTCAGCAGCAGCAAGATCTTCAGCGACAAGTAAGTCATCCAGCAACACCCCTATGGAAACAAACATGTCAATGACTGATAACATTTGATTCCATATTAATTAGCCCATATAAAAAGTTTTGCTTTTACATATTTATTGAATTCAACTATCCATTGTTTACAAACGATAATTGAGGCTTATTGATGAGAATATCATCTATTTTATTTATTTCTAGTTGGATTTTATTTTGTTTTGGATTCTTATTTATGTAATTGGGCTTGTATCGGCCCAAATCCATTCTAGTTAGGATTCTATTTTTACTATTTAAACCTAATTTGTCTTGTAATTTTCTTTAGTTTTTTTGATGAATTGAAAAATATTTTGGTGGATATGGCTTCTTCTTCCTCTCCCTCTCCCCCATGAATTTCTGCTTCTTCTCCGGTTTCTCCTCCCATTCTCTCCGGTTCTCCCCTCTTTCTTGCTTTTTTTTATTCTTTAATTCGTCATGCATCAAATTTGGTATCAAAACCGAAACTTGAATAACTTCTCATTTACAATCCAAAATTTTTCTTTACATTCTCTTTCCAAAACCCTTGTAGAACAACACAAACAAAATAATTTGTTTGAGGCAGCAGTTTTCTTTTCTTTTAATTTTCTTTCTTAGTTAAAAAAAAAAAAAAAAACTGTTCACGTGTACTGTTCACACCCGAGAAAAAAAATCATTTTTAGCATTTTTTTCATTTTCTAGAAAAATAATAATAATAAATAAAAAATTCAACTGAAGTCTCATTTCCTCTGCTACCCATCCTATATTAATTGTTGTTGTTTCCTCTTCCTTACCCTAGTCTCAATGCAAAGCAACCCAACACAAACATAAACCACAACCCAAAATAACACGATCGTAGGGATAGGGATCAAGTTCGTGAGCGAGAACGAGATCATGGTCGTCATGGTACTCATTCCCTTCTTCGTCATAAGGAACGTTTCTTTAGAAACATTAAATTATTCGATGGTTGCTTAGACCACCAAATTTTTACTCAATGGGACACCCCTACGCAAGGAAATTAGCTAGTAACTGAGTACATTGCTCAATTTGAAGAATTTCGAATGAAATGTCCTGTCGTTGAGGATGGAGCCCTAACCTTGGATAGGTTTATGCAAGGTCTAGGAGATGAACTTAGGCGTGAACTTTTCTTTCGAAGTGTCACTACTCTTGATCACGCTTATTCTTTGGCCCGAGACTATGAGTTGATTATTAATCATCCATATGAAAGGTGAGATCCCCATCGTTCACCCATCTCATTAGCGCCACTTCATCATAAGTCTGTCATAGAGCCTTCCCTGTCTAGTGTTCTTCCTATTTGGAAAAATAAATGTAAAGGTTGTGATAGTCCAAGACCTTCTTTTCCATATAGAAGACGTATTGACAATCATTATTCTGTTTCATTGGCTCCACTTCCTCCCGTCTAATGTTCCTCCAATCTTAGAAAATAAGGGTAAAATTTCTGAAATTGTAAGGACTTCTTCTTACTTGCTGTGCGTCGGCTATAAGGACTTTGGCCATATCTCTTCCAAATATCCCGGTCGAGCAGACATTAAAAGATTTAGTCTATAAACCTAAATTTGAAGATTTTGATGACTTGGATGATAATAAGGACACCTCATTAGATAGTATTCGGACTTTTCCTATGAATATAGGTATTGTCCCCCTTGTTCTTGATACGTGTCAGTCAAGTGTTGTATGTCGTACTCTTATCCAACCCAAATATACCAGGATTTGCGTAACCATGCCATTTGCAAGGAAAATCTATGAATTTGGAATTTGATCTTTCCAACTATTCAAATTGTGTAGAAAAGTTCTGAATATGGAAAGAAGACAAGATATAGTAATTATAGTCAATTAGTGATTGTAATCTTTTAGTTTTTTGGTAGAATAGTTTTATTCCTATTTTAGAAGATTAGTTTCCTTTTCCTATTACTCATCCTATGTATATATACTTACTATAATCAATGTTTTTATTATTGAAGAATTAGAATTTTCTCTCAATCTCGTTTTCTTCATGGTATCAGAGCAAGGGGCTCTCATCTAGAAAACTATGGCGGAATTCCCTGCCGACAGTTCTGCGTCTACAATGTCAGGCGCAGAATCAGAGGGTAATTCCTCAATTGGTCAAAATGCATTCAAGAATTCCTCGTTTCAGCTTACTGTTAAAAAATTAAACAGGAAAAACTACCGTGAATGGGCCCAGTCGATTAAACTGGTGATCGATGGAAAAGGAACGTTGGGCTACCTTACCGACGAGACAAGAAACCGGCCGACACAGCCCTACAGCAACGATGGCACTCCGAAAACTCCATGGTCATTGCCTGGCTAGTGAACTCGATGAAGCCTTCTATAGGGAAAACCTATCTGTTTCTCCCTACAGCAAAGGATGTATGGGATGCTGTAAAAGACACCAACTCAAACGCCAAAAACGCTTCACAAATCTTTGAATTGAAAACCCACTTGTGGCAGACCAAACAAGGGACGAGATGTCACGGAATATTTCATGGAAATGACATCTCTTTGGCAAGACCTCGACCTCTGCAGTGAAGAAGAATGGAAGTGTCCCGACGACATCACCTTGTACAAGAAGAAGCAAGAAAACGAAAGGGTCTATGAATTTCTTGCCGGCCTGAATCGCGAACTCGACGAAGTTCGAGGCCGAATTTTGGGACGTCACCCACTACCTTCCACTAGAGAGGTTTTTGCAGAAGTACGTCGCGAAGAGGCTCGCCAGCAGGTGATGATGAGGGAGGTTTCTGGAGAAGCTTCGACCCTAGCTGGAAGAAGAAATGAACCTCAAAGAACTACAGCTTCTGGGCCAGGAAATTATAAACATAACGAGCCAAAATTTTGGGCCAGAAATTGAACATATTAATGGGCCTTTTAATGGCAGTGATGGTTTGGGTTTTTCAAAAGGAATTATAAATGGGTCAACCCAAAAACAACGGGGCCGTCCTTGGTGCGAGCACTGTCGTAAGCCGGGTCATAAAATAGATACATGCTGGGAAATTAATGGGAAGCCAAATGACTGGAGACCTAAGCTAAACTCGAGGAGCCGAGGATATCAGGTTGAAACAAAAAACAATTCAACTGCAAGCAATACATTTAATTCCGAGCAATTGGAACAACCCTATCAACTATTTGCAAGCTTTCAAACCTCCGATCAGTCTTCTTCTCCTAAAGGCCCCTCTAGCTCACTAGCCCACAAAGGTATCTTTCCTAGAGCCCTAAATACTTCGAGATATAAAAATGCTTGGATTATTGACTCTGGAGCATCCGATCGTATGACGGATTCGTATCATCTATTCAATTCATACTCAACTTGTCTTGAGAACATTCGAGTTAAAATTGCAGATGGCTCACTTTCATCTGTTACAGGAAAATGGAGTATTCGAATATCTGAGTCCTTAACATTGGATTCTGTTCTCCATGTCCCAAATTTATCTTGTAACTTATTATTTGTCAGTCAAGTAACAAAAAATTCCAGCTGCTTTGCTAATTTCTTTCCATCTTATTGTGTCTTTCAAGACCTTTCATCGGAGAAGACGATTGACAGTGCTAAAAAATGCGAGGGATTATACTACTTCGAGGAAGCTGATGTGAGTTCACTAGGTCAACTTTCACAATGTAATTCTGCATCTACCTTTAAAGATAGTGAAATCTTGTTATGGCACAATAGAATAGGTCATCCTAGCTTACAATATTTAAAACATGTTTGTCCTTCAATTTTCATGAATAAAACACCTATTGAGTTTCAATGTGAAAATTGTGAGTTTGCAAAACATCAGCATACATCTTTTCCAGAATCAATATACAAACCATCCAACCCATTTGCTATGATTCACAGTGATCTACGGGGACCTTCCCGCACCCCTAACCGTACCCAAACAAAGTGGTTTGTCACATTTATCGACAATCACACTAGAGTATGTTGGGTTTATCTGCTGAAAGAAAAAATCGATGTTCGATCAATATTTATGAACTTTCATTCCATGATCCTGACACAATTTCAAACACAACTTCAAATTCTTCACACTGACAACGGCACAGAATATTTCAACGCTACTTTGCAAGACTATTTAAAAAAATATGGAATAGTCCACCAAAGTTCATGTGTCCATACCCCACAACAAAATGGGGTTGTTGAACGAAAAAACAGGCACATACTAGAAGTAGCTCGTGCCTTAATGTTTACAATGAATATGCTAAAAACATCCTGGGAGATGCAATTCTAACTTCTACTTATCTAATAAATCGATTGCCCAGTCGGACCCTCTCTTTCAACTCACCTTTAAAAAAACTCCAAAAACGCTTCCCAACATCCCATCTTAATTCAAACCTACCCTTGAAAGTATTTGGCTGTACTGCATTTGTACACATTCACTCCCAACACCACAATAAACTTGAACCACGTGCCATTAAATGCGTGTTTATTGGGTACTCTCCCACTCAAAAAGGTTATAAATGTTATAATCCTTTGGGGAAACGGGTTCTCGTGAGTCTCGATGTCACCTTTTTTGAAACCACACCTTACTTCTCGAAGCCTTCTCTTCAAGGGGGAAACTTGAACGGAGATCGGCTCTCCAATCATGAATTCTTGGACTTTGATCTCACCCCTTGTGACCTCACACATTCTAATCCTCCTAGTGTGCCATATACAGAAGAAAACTTGAATTCAGGGAGAGATGGAGAAAAGCAAAGTGACAAGGAGATACTAGTTTACTCACGAAAGTCTAAATCAAAGTGTAATGAAACCCTTGCAACTGAAGCACCAAAAGAGTCGGAACTGGTGATAGGAACTGATAAAGATCCTTTCAACAATCCAAGTGATGATCTACCTATTGCTCTCAAAAACCAACCAAATCATGTACTTTACATCCTATTTCAAAATTTATGTCTTATAGTGTTCTATCTACAAAATTTCGTGCCTTTACGACTAATCTTGACAAAACAGAAATTCCAAGACAAATTCAGGAGACCCTGGAGTCACCCAAATGGAGAAAAGCGGTAATGGAGGAAATAAAA